GGAATCCTCGGAGGCTTGTCTTTAAACGTTCGTTAACCGAATATCAGCTAGATTTCTCTTTGAACGCGTAGAACAGTTTCCAATGTCGGTTTCATTGAAAAAGATATGGGCAAGCGTGTTTGACAGCCAGCGAAGAAAACCGTTGGAATTGAAACTATTTTGGCAATTTGCAAACCAACAAAACATGCCCGTGAAAAACCTTGAGAAGTGGCATGTAGCAGTGACAGAAAATAAAGTGAGAAATAAAGTGAGAGAGAAAGAGAGGAAGAGAGAGAGAGAGTGAGAGAGAGTGAGAGAGAGTGAGAGAGTGAGAGAGTGAGAGAAAGAAAGAAAGAAAGAAAGAAAGAAAGGAGGAAAAAGACTGTGACAGTATTAGGCGGAATTGTACAGCGTGCCAGTTGTGTTAGAAAAATTTTCTTCAGCATTGGATGTACGTATTGAACTCGTTTTCTAAATCCTCTAGAATTGATTCGCTTAAGGCGGTTCGAGCCTTAACTAAAATAGTATAATAAACTATTAGGCTGTAAGTTGTTTCATAGACATTGAACATATGAACTTAAGGTGTGTGCTGATTGTAGCTTCATTGCCATCGCATTGTCGTGTCAGGCGGAGAGGTGTTACCACTCTGTAAGTGAACATAACAAAATATTTATCCGTAAAATTGCATTTTTACTTTGTCAAAAAAAGAAAAGAAAAAGAAAAAGAAATTTTTTTGATCGAGACGTTGGTTGATACACGCATATGTACATATACATGTACGTATGTAGAAATATATATATAACCACACATGTATGTGTGCGCGTGTATGTGTACAAATATATATATGTATATATATTTCTATCTGTATCGTCTCTGGCGCCTACCAGAAGAGCAACCATTTCTACGTTCTTGTAACGATAATACATTATATATTATATATATTTGGGTGATAGTTTTCTGGAAAGTTAGGGGTCTTTTAACTTTCATAAATTATTTATGTAATTGCCACGTGTGAATTATAAACAGCGAATTAAGAATTAAGAATTAAGAATGAATAATGAATAATTAAGAATTAAGAAGCAATAAGATATATATCTGATAGAAGAACTTGGGAGGGATTACATAAATAAAAGGAATAAGGCTTTACGCGGGTAAATCCATAAATCTAATGTATGATTTGTAAATCGCAGCGCATGGACCTGGGAGAATGCCCCCAGATTCACGACTTGGCCCTACGGGCTGACTACGAGGCGGCACAAAAGAAGAAGGACCATTTTTACGACATCGACGTGAGTATTCGTCTCTCTGTCTCTCTCCTCTCTCTCTTTTCTCTCCTTTCTCTCCTCTCTCTCCTCTCTCTCCTCTCTCTCCTCTCTCTCCTCTCTCTAGTAATAATTATCGTGTCGAGTAGTCTCGGAACAGAGCCAAAGCGGTGTAACAAAGCGGTTGTGTGTATCTGTTGAAAGGCCATGGAACATCTACAGAACTTTATCGCCGACTGCGACCGCCGTACAGAGCAGGCGAAACAACGGTTAGCGGAAACTCAAGAAGAGCTTAGCGCCGAGGTCGCGGCGAAAGCGAATAACGTGCACGTTCTCGCGGAAGAGATCGGCAAGAAGCTGGCGAAAGCTGAGCAGCTCGGAGAGGAAGGTTTCGTGGAGGAGTCGATGAAGTTGATGGGCGAGATAGACGAGTTGCGAAAGAAGAAGAACGAGGCCGAGCAGGAGTACCGTAATAGCATGCCAGCGTCCAGTTACCAGCAACAAAAGTTAAGAGTGTGCGAGGTCTGCAGCGCCTATCTCGGGATTCACGATAACGACAGACGACTGGCGGACCATTTCGGTGGGAAGCTGCATCTGGGGTTCATCAAGATCCGCGAGAAACTGGCGGAACTCCAGAAAACCGTCGAGGAGAGGCGCAAAGAGAAACGCGAGTCGTTGCTGGACAGGCGCAGGGACAGGGACAGAGACGACCGCGACAGAGATCGCGATAGATCGGATCGACGCGGAGGATTGGGTTACAGGGAAAAGGATCGCGATCGTGAACGCGAGCGCGATCGCGATCGCGACAGGGACCGCGACAGGGATCGCGACAGAGATCGCGATCGTGAACGCAGAGACAGAGATCGCGATCGCGATCGCGAACGCAGAGACAGGGATAGGAGAAAGTCACGATCCCGTAGTCGCAGTCGCGGAAAAAGGTTAGTTCGGATTAATGGAGGATAGAAACGTGTACCATCCATATAGAGTTGTCTCGGTGAAAACGTTAACGAATTCGCTTCGATTGTTTCAGATCTAAGCGTTCGCGCAGCAGTAGCCGTAGCCGTCGATCTCGTTCTCGCCGTAGTGGATCTAACGATCGGAAAAGATAAAATCAATTGACATTCGAATAATTATTATGCTCAATCATTTCTTCTCCATATTAAAATTCACGTGCTTACACACGGTGC